ACATGAGGTTTTGACTGAAATGAGATTTTTTTTCTTAGCAAATTTCCCATTTTTCTATGAGATCAAACATAACGTTAAATCTAACATCATGATAGGTGAAAATGTCAAGATTTCATACTACTTTTTATACTATTAGCACCCAAGTAAAGCACAAGAAGAACTTGTTCCTATTTGTAAATGCCATTTTCTATTACCTCTCAGACACCTAAGGCACTGCATAGTTGGAGGGATTATTGCACTTCTCAGGTAGTTGCAGTCACTTATGGCTTGGATTTGTGCCTCAGAAGCTTGCCTGAAGGATCCATTAACTGCTAGTAATGCAAAGCTTGTTGTATCATATTGCTTAATTATGCACTTTTCTTCCTCCGTGTGTCATGCCAAGTAGATAGGAAAGGCTTTGGAAGAGAACTTAGTCAAAATGTATTGATCACTGGGAAGTGTCAGAAAACTCAATGAAGCCTTCTTGAATAATGGAGGGTAGAGAGGACCTGAAGTGAGGATGTGCATCTTCAGTGTCCAGGAAAGATCTTTTTCTATTGATATGAAGGCCAAAGAGTACTGTAAGACTGGCACTCTTCAAGAAAGTGAGCAGAAGAGCCCATCCTTCTCCCACAGCCCAGACAAAAATCTCTCTAAACCCATCATAATGCTAATGTATAAAGCCAGTCTACCCTTTGGCTGCAGCTGATTGTTCACAGTGGAAGGGATCATTAAAAGGTATTTTGACAACATAATCTATTCTTGTGTGTTCTTTCTTCATGCCCATGAAGCTCTTGGCGCTTCAGTGAGAAAAGCTGAAGGACCAAGAAGCAAGCCAGAGTTATGGCTATATGCAGAAATAAGAAACAGGAAATCTCTTTAAGGCATGAAACCTCCCAGCAGGATTTGCTGTCATCATCTCTACCCCAAAGCAGCCTGGGGACCAGCGTTCTGCAGAGCAATGTTATTGATGATCTTTTCAGAGCTGATTCTCTTCTCATAATTAGAGAAGTTAGACACATGATCACCAGAATAGCTACTGCTGCTCCTGAGATGTTTAACTTCCATATTTAACATCAGGAATCTCTTAAATTGTTTGTATTCCCTCATCTCTGACAAAACTATTTCCAAGACAGCTAACGCTGTCACAGATTTAAAGGCAGACAGGTCCAACCTAAGAAATTATATTCTGCAGTCACATCTCTTCCTAGTAGGTATTTTGGATCTAGGCTTTATATTTAGGTTCGTCTCTAAAGTACAGTTTTAACACTAAGAAAGAAAGAGACTGCTAAAATGCATTGGAACAGGTTGAAAAAGAGTTAGTTAAATGCAAATAAGCATCCTGCATCACAATATCAGAGTCCAGGCTCAGGACTGGCAGCACTAGCCAGACACTATCATATAGGGGTGATTGGTGGTCGCTGGCCAATCTCGATTGCCAGGAGGAGAGGTAGGCTGAGCAGTTGCCATGTGCCCTGGCTAGCGTCTGGGACAAGGAGGCAACTACTGCAAAGGGAGAAAAGCCACAGGGATGTGAGGGGGTCTGCTTCATTCTGGGGGTGGCTGGTTCAGTTGTGCACCACTCAGAGCACTGGAAGGCTCATGCCATGTGTGGCAGAGGCCATTGCCTGTGGCGACACGAGCTGAAAGGAAAGCACTTTTCCATTCCAGAGGAAAATGAAATCTCACCAGCTATTTCAATCTGCAGATGAACTTTTTCCAGTCTCCTGAACTATTATTTTTTTAAACAAAGGATTCTTGTATCTCTATGCCTCTCTGGGAATGTGTTACATGCATTTTAGTGGGCTTTATTTTGCCAGGCAGTGCTAGGAGCCAAACTCTACATGAGAGCTCTTGGGGTCTGAGAAAGGGCTTCTGTAAAAGACTCGTGGCCAAAGATGAGCTCCAGCTTTCTCCTGGAAGCTTCATCCATCTGGCTATCATGCTACTGAAGATCCATGACTTCAGGTATGTGTCTGCCATGCTGCCCAGAAAGGGCACAGCACCAACATGCAGAGCACAGCTTATTAGCCATATGTTTTAAATCTGTGGTTTATTTCTAGTTCCATTTACCTATCCCATCTCCCTGTCCGTTAGATGTTTGAATGGGCTCTCCTGTATTCTTTTTGTGACCAAACCCATTCCCATGACCTGTCTTTAGCAGGGGTCTAGGCACAGTTTTATTCAAGACCGCTTGTGGTCATCTAAATGCTGGCTGGACAGATCTAGTGGAGAGGCAAGATATGTGCTTCTGTAATTGTTCTCCTGCTCCTGCCAGACTCCTCGAGTGCTTGAGACCTCAGCACAGTAGGTGCTACTGAGTTTGGATCACCCAAAGGTTTTGGCAACGGTGTTTCAAATATGGGACTTCTGCCTAACCTGTCTGTCTGCCAAGGATTTCAACTTTCTGACATGGGAGATGTTATTGGGTTGGGTTGAACAAGCAAAGAAAACAGTTGTTACTAGCTATTCCAAATCCAAGGCTCACTACATTAGCTTAAGCTTTACACTCTCATAATTAGTACTAGCTTGCAAAAGTAGTCTTCCACCAAAAAAGTAAGAATCCTTGTGTAAAGCAATTAAGCTCTTTTTTCCCCAGATCAGTGGTACCCCCAGTTATTCAATTTTCACACCGACACTCCTACCATAAGCATTCACTTCCCTCTTACTGCCTGATACCCTTCCTAGCCCCTTGCTTCACATTTTGCTGCTGATCTCTGTTTCTCCATTACAGACGTCTCGCAGACTCTGGGTCTCTCCAGCTGATGTTTATTCGCAGCTAGTCCCAGGCCCTGTACTCCTCTGCCTTGTTCTCAGTATCCATGGGAACATCCTCATTGTCCCATGGCTCAAAACAGGGATTCAGTGTCCACCTTCGCTTTAGAGATTCACTCCTCATCTGCTGCATGATAGAGTGCCCTGCCTTCCTACATGATGCAGAGTTTGAGAATAGGCTTGTCTACATTAATTCTGTATTCTTGTGTCCATCTTCTAAGTTGAGAAACTCTTCTTTTGCCAGGACCTGAAAACATAAGAGCTTTTTTCCTAAACTTTTCGCTGGCAGAAGTAAAGCCACTGAAGGCAGTTTCCCAGCCACTGTGTGTCCTCCCTCTAGCTGGCCAAGCTCATTTGCATGCTTCCTCCCCACCACAGCACCACGTCCCACCCTGTTGATCACTGGTTTTCAAGGGCAAATACTTCTGCTTCCTCTGGGCAGATTGGAGCAGTGGTCTGAACCATTACCACGCAGCCCCAGTAAGTGCTGTTCCCTAAGTCAAGTTTGGGGAAAGACTTGAGCCGTAATAGGGACCATTTTCTTCTTCCTACGCTCAGAAAGCTGAATGAAGGAGGAACATGCCTGAAGCTCCTGCCCCTCCAGGCCGCACAACTTAGTGCAGAGTTGGTCCTAGGAAGCTGGTTAATCCTTCCTGAGGACCTGTGCCTGCCTCTGGGGTATCTTCTACATGGCAAGTCCAGCAGAATGGAGCAAGCTTTCCAAGATTTGTATTTACTTGCTGTTTCTCAGCAGGGGGTCACCACTTGCCTCACCCCCATTGACATGAGAGAGGTCCATAAATCAGCTGCACAGTGATAGCACAGCCCTCCTGGTGCTCATTATGCGTCTCGCTGCTGGAGATGCATGCCACCTTTGATGCCAAGTACATTAGGGAACATGCCTTGGTTTAAAAGTACTCCATAGGAGGGAATCACAACATTTCCAAAGCTTGGCCTCTTGCATCACAAAAGCAGGGCATGCTCCTCACCATGTCTCAGGCGATAACAAAAGCCCAAGACCAACAAACAAAATGAACAGCTTTAAAACAACAAAGCTGAGCTGAATTTTGTATACAGTGTTTGTTGCCACAATCTGGCCCAGAGTCACCATCTCGGATTTCGCTACCAGAATGATGGAAATATAAATAGGGGCTATAAACCCAAAGCGTTTCCAGCTCATACATCCGAAGGATAGAAATTATAGTCTCTTAGCAAAGAAAAAGTTCAAGGGTAATGAGGTAATGGGACCTGGTTACATAGCTCATTTCTCTTTAATACAGCATGGAAATTTTTCCTATGTCCTTGATGCAACCTCTGTTAAAGTATAAAATAATCCCCTGTTTCAGTGGAAAAGCCCCTTCCATGCCTTCAAGAATGAACTGCTGAGCTCCATTTTGGGAACAGTTTCTTCCAGCTGCTGTTTCCAGAGATTCCTGAATGGCTCTGAAGACACGGTGTCAGCAAAGAATGAAATCTGGCTGTTTGAAAGATAATCCATCGCCTGTTGGCTTACCTAGAAATGGCCTCACTTTTCTACGCATTTGCTGAGAGCTGCTGCTGTTGAACCACAGGAGTCCCAGCTCGAGTCTTGCTAAATAATACTCTGGGAGTCCACGCCATGAGTCACAGCACTGGATGGGGGACTGTGTTCATTTGATTAATTACATTACCATGCCTGCCCTTTAGTTGTTGACTCATAGCCATAAGAGCCTGGGATGTGCTGTGTATGTAGTAAACTGATTAAAGAGGGAATGTATGTCAATGTATGGATGTGTATGATAGCTTTTTGAAATCCCTCATGATCTTCCCACCCACTGGGCATTGCTTCAATATCGACTTCAATAGTCAGGAAACAAACTTGCTCCCTCATCTGCATCACACATTGCAACGAGCCTGCCAAATATGGCCAAGCTTTTAAAAAGAAAAGAGAATCCCCCACCAGTGAATTTATGACCTTTGGCTCTGTTTGTGGCTTGTTCCTGTGCATGCCTGAGTGACATGGAAACTGCAGCAAATCTCTTTGGCCCATTTCTACACTCTCACACATGCAGCTGTGTTGGATTTTTCCTTCTTTTAATGAGTTTTTTGTTTGGTTTGTTACCTTCTAACATAAGCAACCCATGATGAGAGGCACAAGAAGAGCAATATGCATTAACGAAAAGGAAGGATGGAAAAGAAACAGGAGGAGGCTGGAAGTGTTGCTGAGTGTCTGAAAGTAAAACGTCACATCTTCTCATCTCTCCCAGGTCCTTCAAGCCCGACTTTGTCCTCATCCGGCAGCATGCCTACAGCATGGCACTGGGAGAGGACTTCCGCAGCCTCATCATAGGCCTCCAGTATGGTGGCATCCACACAGTCAACTCCCTCTACTCTATCTACAACTTCTGCAGCAAGCCCTGGGTGGTAAGTGACAATCCAGTTCTACTGCATGCCAACACTGCAAAGTACGTATCTGATCCTGATAAAGCACCAAACTCAGCTTCCAGTCTGTTTCATAGGAATCCATCTCTTTAGGTTAAAACCACCATTTAAAACAACCTTAGGAATCCAGCTGGGAATTCTTGGAAGAAAAAACCTACCAGCACTCTCTTTTACTAGCCTCTAGTAATATCAAGGTATTATTTCCTCACTCTGAGTAGGACATTTCACCTGTCTCAGACTCTAATGTGTCACAAACAGCTAATAATACAGTAACACTTAGATTTCTTGTAAGGCAGAGTAGATGAATTGTGATAGATTAATAATATCAGTAGCACATCTCTGCCCTGACGAAAACATGATAAAACTACCTTAAAAGAAACAATAACATTTGCTGCTTTAGAAAGTATCTGAACTATGCTACTTCTAGCATCTTTCATTAGTTGTACACTTGTGGTATCCAGGTGCCCCAGCCTAAGACTAAGATAATCTGTTCCTTGCAGAAGTGCAACCTGCACTTTTGTCTTCTCTTCCTACTTGTTCTAGGCAGTGCTTCGTTGTGAGGAAATCAGCTGAAAAGAAAGACAAGAAAGGTAGAGAGATGATTTATTTCTTTAACAGCAAGGTCTAGGAAAGAAGAGAACATAGAATGACAAAGACCTGGGAAAGAGATAGAGGGCAAAGGGAAAGCATGTTGATTTTCAGCAGTTTCAGAAGGAAATACAAGATTATCATAAAGTGTTGGTTCATTGAACCTGAAAGACTGCAACTCCAAACCACTTTGGGCTGAGTCAGCTCCTGGGGAGAACAGGACAGTGTTTTGATATTTTGCACTGGGAGCTGCCTTCACCTGTTCTTCAAATTTCTTCAAATTCACCTAAAAATCCCAGAAAACCTTAAAAAATATTATCATTGGCTTCTCTCAGCCCCAAATCAAAGTTTGTAATAGTTCCTCAGACCAGTTTTACAACCAGCTTT